ACTGATCTTCATAATCTTGGTGTTATTAAATGGAGGGCAGAGGGAATATAAGCACATCCTGGGCATATCGTGATGAAATACCATTAGTGTGTATGCCCAACAATGGAACTTTTGTTCTAACCTGTGGGTAATGAATCAGTGAATATATCCCAGCATAAGAAACATTCAAGCTACAGTAAATTCATGTGCGAAAGATGTGTAAAAATTTATCTTTTGGGCAAGTTATTTCCACACTTACTATATAGAATAGTGTGTATGGTGCTGTGGAGAGCCATTGCATAAGCAGAGAACTTACATCCCTCAAAGACACACAGAAGAGGAATTAGAAGCCCATAAAAACTTATTTCAAGAGCTTGTTGTAATGCCTGTGTAAGAGATTGTTGGTTCTTCTTCTGCATGCTAGAAAAACTAAGTTCTTCCTAAAAATCCGCATGCAGGCTCAGTGAGCAAAACTGGAGATGAAAGCAAGAAAGGGGAAAAAAGATGATGTAATCATTTTGGGGCTGTTCAGTCGGTTCTTTCCACTGAATCTCCAAATGTTTCTTTAGCAAAACACATTCAATAAATTAGGAATCAAGGAGTGTTGCCACATTTTTGTATGTTCATCAGCAATCGGTAAACGAGAGAATGGTTCAACATTTGTCAGCCTTCTTTTACAAGTAAAATCTTGAAATCTCTGTGTTTTAGAGAGATTTTGACATGCTCATTCTCCAGCCCCCTGGCTGGAGTCACGTTGCTGTATGTTTTGGTTAAAAATCCCAACCAAGAAAATCATCCCTTTCTGTGCCTTCAAGCTTTTGAAAATCTAATTTAATGAATTCTGCCTTCTGTCTCTCACCTAAATAAACAGTCTTCTTCTTCTTCTTCTTCTTCTTTTTTTTAAAAAAAAAGCAAACAAAAAAAGCCCCAACAAACTATTGCCATCAACAACATTAACAAATGTCCTGTCTGTGAGCACAATTAGTAAGAAAACAGCCTTAGTGGTTTTTAGCCTGCAGACACCCTGTGGAACTCCACAGTCATAGATTCTAATTAAAGGATTGACTTTTCAAGAAAGATTAAAATAACTAAATGCATTTAGCTTTGCAAAACAATGGTGGGGAAGGAATAAGAGAATTCTCAGCAACAATAACAAGATTGTAAACACCAACAATGGACAAGGGCTGTTTAAAGGAAGAAAAAAAGCGCTTGTTTAGGCACCAAGAGTAATAGGGAACAATAGATGCATAAGATAGAATATGTTCAATGTCAATTATTGGTGTTCTTATTACAGCACAACTTTTGAACAAATGCAGTGATGCTACTTGTCAAGCAAAGATTTACTCACGATTGAGGAAAATGGAAGGGCTCTAATTATGCTAGTAGCACTGCCAAATACTACAAGTAACTACTCTAGCATTACCAGAAAAATTTTGTACAACTTTGCATCCACTTTATTATGAAGGTGTTTGAAGTTCTGCAAGTGTTTGCCTTTTAGACATCTTTTGTGGGAATGCTAATCAGAAATAACATTTAGAGAACTGCAAACCTTCAAAGGACTGGAGGTGGATCCATCACCTTCCCTACAGCAGAGTGAGTAGAATAATCAGGAAAGCAGTAGAGGCCAGTGCCTCTACTGTGCCAGTAGAGGATGATGTGCCTGTTGTTTTGATGCTACATCCAGGGGTGCTCTGTTTCTAAAGGGAACTAAAGTGGATCCTTGGCTCCACCAATGGGATTGCTGTTCTGAGCATCTAAGCAGCTTGATGGAGAAGACAGAAATAAAGCTGGAGCAACCTCTGCTCAAAATAATCTGCAACCCCACTGCATTGATTTCTGCTACTTACTTCAGAGACAGCCACATTTTGAGGTTAGAATTCTTGACTGGCTCTAAAGCCTCTGGGGAAATGTAGATTTAATTCATATTTAAAAGGCCAAGGTCAGCGCTATCAAATATTTTTAGGTTATCAAGATTCAGGCTGGAGCAGAAGTCTGGCTGCAGTAAATTCTATTACTAAAAACTGTCTTTAAAAACTCTGTAAAGCAACCTATCACAATTTTTAGGTCTTGATAGCGGAAGTGTATGCTGTCATTGTTGAAGTAAATATAGTCTTTGAATTAACCCGGATTGTATCCATTAAAGCTCTTGTGTAAAAGCATGAATACTTCCATTGATGTTTTAGGATCCAGAGCTAAATGTGGTGCTGATACACAGATCCACGTGTCAAGACTCAGAGGTAAATCCAGCAAAGACTTCTTGCTTGGTCACCTAGGGACAGTTTGTGATGGTCTCCCAGAGTGCTTCTTTTCAAACAGCAATGCATCATTTTGCCTGTACTAAACGTCCCACTCTTCCCCTGCACGAGGGCTCGCCAAGTGAGCATCTTCCCTCCATTCCACATTTCACAGTGCACACACAGCTGGGAATGCGCACGATTTCATGACATTGTAATGTACAGATTTTATCAACCTTTGCCAGCAGTTATTCAAACTGAAAGATATCCAGGATTACTTTTTTATTCTATTCCAGAGCACGCGTGCAAGTGTAGCAATACAGCATCTATCATGCAATTGCGATGCCATGCCTTAACCACGTTTCCAAACGGCCTATCCCACAAGAAAAGATCAGCAAGTAACTGCTTAGACATACACAATGACTGACTTCTTTTCTACCTGACGTGCAATCTTATCAGAAAACGAAGACAGAAATTACTAAGTACATTCAGAAAACATGGAGTGAGAGGTGTGTGTACAAAGCCAATTAAGGAAAGAATTGCTTTTCGCTGCTTTTTTTCCTGGTGCACTCTTTTGGAAATTTACCGCCATATACTAATTAACCTCTGGGTGACTTTATGTAAATTAGATGGCATGTTTTGCAGTGTTGCTGTGGTAGTGTAAATGTCTTAAAGTTATATGAAGTGCTTTGAAGGTAGCCAACAAAGTTTGTTTTTAGTGTATTACTACGAGATGATAAAATAGCCATGCTTTTTTTGGAATGAGAGATAGATGAGAAGAAGAAAAGATGAGAAGTGATGTGAAAGGTATTGGGAAGATACACAGAATTCTTGGGCCACATCCCCAGCTTGCTAAACACAGCCAGGACAACCAGCTCAATGCAGCTGTTCAAATTGCCATTATTTCAGGACTTGGTCTCTTGCACTTAAATAGATATTAAGGATGCTGACTGAAGGTCTAGAACCCTTGGTGATCTTGGAGAAGTAATTTCAGTAACCTCAATCAGAGAGTACCACTTAGGGAATCAAGCAATTGATTTTCCTTGTGCAATACTGTTCCCTTATGCGTACTGTGCAATTAGTTTTCTTGGGGGTCTGGTGCATTGGGGCAAACATTTTTTTTTGTGGGAAAATTAATTAAGGGGACAGTGGCTGGATTTATAAAGATTCACTTTTATGTCGTGAAGATTTGAGTGCAGAATTAGCCTTAGGGACCCACTGCTGCCTACAAATACACAAATTATTTGGAGGGACCAAATTGGTATTGAGAGAGCCAAAGTATACAGTGAAGCAAAATATACTTCTGAATGCCCTCTAAAGTGTATGGCACAACAAAGGTGTCTGGCAATGCCAATTGGATCTATACATCTGTTTCAGGATGAAATGAGCAAGACCCTAAAGAGGAGTCTTTTCCCGTTAGAGAGAGGCAAGAGTGGTTGGTGCTGATGAAAACACCTGCAGTCTACATTTAATCTGAAACATCCCAGTCTCTCAAGCAAGTGTATCTAATATAGGAAATTGTGCGAGGAGATAAGAGAATTAGGGTATATATCAACTAAGTGCCTGCTGTCTAATATTATTTATAAAAGATAAAGTATTATACATTAACATGTGCTTATTACGCACTATATTACATGCCACACATCTGTCGTTGTTGGGGTACTGACACATCACATTTTAATAATGTGAGCTGCCCCTGGGAATGATGGCTAAGGTGCTCAACATGGGGAGATAGTACCAGCCTGTGAATTCCAATCCTGTGAAGCTGTTTGCTTGCAGCCCACACTTAGGCACTTTAAGTCTTGAGATGAAGGAAATGCTACTGTATATCTGTTTTCTGTCATTCTTTTTGGTTAGTTTAAGAGGCCTCCTGCTCAGTACTCTGGTTGTTGTGAATCTGAGGCACCTAATTCTCCCCGTGATATATACAGAATTGATATTTCACACTGCATGTTATGAATTCAGTAGTAGGAGCCTATGAGTTATGTGTGGGGAAGATCAGTGCTTGCGTGTAGTTTGTAGATGTAAAGCCACATGTCTGTAAGTTAAGCACAGTACCAGCTAGCCTGTAGGCTTGCAGATTTTGCTGGGTTTTAGCCGGTGAAATGCTGAAGCATTTGAAGCAGTGCCAAATAACTGTCTTGTTCACCACCTATATTGAAGAGTGAATATTCAGGGTGAGAGATCTACTTCATGACAGTCTGGGGAAAAAAAAAAAAAAAAAAAGAAGAAGAAGAATTTCAGAGAAATATTAAGGAAAAAATCATATAATCAATTCCATCAAAATAGTGTCATGCAAAGTTGAATAAAGCTATTAGATGCAGGGACAAGTTCTTAGTCTGAAGGAGAGGCAGGCATGATTAAAGAAATGAGGATGATGAAGGTGCTTCCTCCTCGCACCCTGACCATCGAAGTCTCCCCAGTTACACTATTGGGAGAGCAACCTGCTTAATTTCTTCCCTTCACTCACTTCTTTCTTGGTCAACTGGTTCTTGAGTGAAGTGGGAATACATACAATTCTGGAAGATGGTGCAGAAATTTCATCAGCCTTCCTTTGCTGCTTTCTACCTCTTTTTGGATGAGAAGAAACACTGAGTCTGCAACACCTTCGACACACAAGGGTCTCTGGCTCAGCAATGCGTTTTCGAATCTCCTCCCACAGGAGCCTGCATTTCTTCACATCGTTTTGGTGGCACAGGCAGGGTCTCCTCCTGGTTCTGGCACTTGGTTGGAGTGAATAAGGGAGAGTGGAGGTGTGCAATGTTGGGGCTGTAAGGTGTACTGCAATCAGCTCCAGGTTGCTGAGGGTGAGCATAATTTTACATTGTTACAAAAGACAGACAAAAAACATTGGCAGAGGAGGGGGATTGCTAATATGCTTTTTTTTTTAAAAAAAAAAAAAAAAAAAAAAGAAGAAGAAGAAGAAGAAGAAAGAAAGAAAGAAAAAAGAAAAAAGAGTGTGTTCAGAAGGAAATGCAGCAGACTAAGAAAAAGGACGAAGCTGCCTTTTCTCTCTACCCCAAGCTGGCCTCATGCTCCGGTGTGTTTCCATGGAGGCTGTTGCTGTCACTGCATGGCTCATGCTGGAGTGTCACATTGGATGGGAGCCAGCTCAACAAGAAAAATAAAGTGAGTTTTTAAGAGGTAACGTGGTAAATGTTCTTCTCAGTCTGGCTACCAATATGTGCTGTCTAGCCTGAGGCGCGCAGCACATATGGGTGAAGCTACTGAGGTTTGGTACTTTTAACTTCTCAAGTCGCTTTTTACAAAACCAGAGGATACGCATTAGACGCACTGAGAGGGGGGAAAAATAGGTAAGGAAAGGCAAGGCCTAGCATTCTGACTGCAACAGACTGTCACTGGCAATTTCTGAATTCCTACGCCGGGGCTTAGAGGCTTTTCTACATACCGGGGGATTTTCCCCGCTGATGAGGTGCAGGCAGGGAAGGCAGCTGCTTGCAGCAGCACACTGGGCAGCACAGCAGCCTGGCCACGCAGGTGACGGTGCAGCAGATGCTGGCATTTGGGCCACCTGCTTGAGGCAGCTGCGCTGGCACCCCTGCCCTCCTGCTCTCCCAGCAGCAGCCTGGCTCCGGTTCCTCCTTCCTTCCTGGAAATTCTATTTTACCTCCACTGCTGAGAATCTGGTGGGCCTGTTTGGGGGGCTGTGTTAGAAAGGGCGACCTCTGAAACAAAGTACAGTTGATGTCTGCTCCAGGGAAATCTGCTCTTCCCTCACTTGGGGTCTTTCAAGGCACTTGAGCAGTCACTTCACGCTGTGCCTCTGGGCTTCTGGGATAGCATCGCAACCTCCTTCTCTTTTTCCCATCTGTCAGCTCAGTCATGACAATGGGGCAGGCTGGAGTTTCTTTCAGCTCATTCGATTTCTATGGCTAGCATTTGCCAAGTGCTCAACCGTTTGTAAAAATCATGTCATCGGTTGTCATTAGGAAGAGAATTGATAACTGGTATTTTCTGAGCCTTGCAGTCAGTCAAAGGAATTCATTCTTTTAGTTTAAAAAAAAAAACAACAAAAGTGACACAAACAAGCCAAAACGTTAAGTAAGCAATTGCTACAACACAATGATTGGGTATTTTAGCTGTTAGATTGATACCCAGTGGCACGTCTATGGTTAATAATTTGTGAAATACCCTTTTTAAAAATTACAACACATTCCCCCAAAGAAATTTAGTCATTTGAAATGTGATGTGTACAAGTGAGTCCAGATGAAAACTCTTACGCAACTTTTAATCCCGAAAGCACTATGGTGTGTTCATTATGCCCAGGTACCAGAGTGGGCATTTCAAGCCCAAGTCATGAAATAACAGAAGTGTTGAAAAGAAACATTTGCTCTGTGTCCCAGTTCCATTCTGATTCCAGATCTCTTCTACTCTTGAGGCAGGGGAAATCTCATCAGAATCCAAGAGGCTGGTACTGGAACAGCCCAGCTGTGAAATCAAAACAAAAGTTATCAGTGTGAATGTCTTAGTTATACAGGACAGTGTCTGTAGCAAAGGGTGAAAGATGAGAAAGGAGAGGAAAGGAGAAAGGCTGTCTGAGGAAAGAAAAAGCATGTAAGTACTTATTTGCTCAGGGATTTCTCTTGTAATTTATTTAATACCTCCACAGAGAACAAAGAACTTTGCTGAATTAAAAACAACTGGAAACAAACCGCAGAACTTCCTGAAAATATTTGCTATACCCAACATCTGACAAGAAAAGCGTAGAAGATTGTTAAGATAATATGAGCAAAGAAGACATCCCAGGTGTTTCAGCTGCCTACAAAGTACAGAATCAAAGAGTTTGAAGCCATACCTACCCAACTGAATGTGCTCTGTTGCCAAGCTGTCTGCAGAACCCTTCTCAGTACCATGAACAAAACCCAAGTGCTTATGCAGCATTTCTTTGCACTTTGAAACTGCCCTTCTGTGTCTCCCTGTGCAAGACTTCCTCTGCAGCTCGTGAAACCTGCACACAGGGAACAAATCACAAATGGGCACTTTTGCAGAGAAACAGTGGAGTGCAACATGACCAGGAGCCACACAGAAAACAGCACAGAGTGAGCTACAAGGGAAGATGGTCCCACGACAAGTTGCTGTCTTACCAGATGAGATGTAGTTACTTTGGTGTTGATATAAGAATTTGATACCCCTCTCTATAAAGTACTGCTTAAGAGATCCATCATTTTTTGTCGCCTCCTGAACAACGAAATAACGCGTAATTCAATATACTGAGCTCAGACAATGGAATCAAATACAAAGCTTAAAATGATGTAAGAAGATTTCTCAGAGTGATCTTAAGTCCATAAATTCAGCTGACATAGTTTTGAAAGGAAAATCCAGAGCCACTCGTTCCATCCCTAGACTTTCAACTGATATGCTCTCCACAGCCAGGAGTGCTTTTCTCAATCTTTTTTCCTTACAGAAATATTAACCAAACACTGGAGAGTTGAAAGAACCAGAATTTTCTTTCACAGAATGCGTTCATTGACGATTTCTTTCTCCCTGTTAACTTTCGCCAGTGTCAGATTACACTAAATAAGAAACTGTCCCTCCTGTGATTCTGGAGCTATTCTCTTAAATAAGATCACAGCCCTTCAATGGCTCCTGCTGAAAGACAGCAACTTTAAAAAAAGTGCAATCCAAGGTTATATGAAGGGCACACAGCTTTCAGATCAGGGGAGTAGAGCACTAACACTATGCAGCCCCACTTTCCTAGAATATGCATCTTGGCAACACTGCTAATCTAAATCTGGCAAATTGAATATTTTGATCTCTGTCCCCAGAGACAAACATACTCTTATTATATTAGATTATAATTTTCGCTCTGATGCTGAAGTATTCTCCACTATACCCTTCATCATATAAGAGAGGCTATATTGTGTACACTAAGGTTGCCATTCAGGCCCTGAGCCAGGTGTTCAGGCTTACTCAGGAGAGTGGGCTGAAGGAAACAACTTCCTAATTGTCAGTCCGAGAATGAGCAACTGGCTTGTACGAAGCACAGGAAAACACTGATATCTACACTACAAAGCTCTGATCTTCAGACCTGAGGAATACCACTGTTGATGTTTGCAATGAGCTGTGTGAAACATGGCCATGTATCACTTGTACTTCTGTGTATCAGCTAGACCACTTTGGTTAGTGGCCACCTAGAAGCTGACTAAAATACCCCAGTGCTTGGCAGCACAGTGCCATACATACAGGCATGCTTTATAACTAGATTGAAAGAAACGGAAGCTGAAGTCCTCACTCCAAAGAATTTGCAATCTAAGGCTTTATCATGGCTCTTAGAAAAAGGGGCAAGCACAATTTATTCACATTAAGCCTAAAACCAACGTATACAAGGAACGGAGGAACTACTTGGCAGATGATCACAGGCTGCATGGCAAGGCAGCAACCTTATCAGAAAGGCTGTATCTGCTGATGTGGTCAGTTCCTGGGCAAAAAACATTCACATGCCTTTATTCAAAAGGGAAGGCTTGTGAAAGGAATTAGCAACACAATCCCTCAGCTGCAGGTATTTGAATTGATTATCTGTCAACCCAAAGGTTCCCCCAAGTTCAGTAAATGAACACAATCTGTCTTCTAAAATATATCATGTAATTTGTTACTGCTTTTTTTTTTTTTTTTTTTTTTTCCTAGCCATGCATCACAAATAAAAAAGCACTTAGTTTTCAGTTTGGGTAATAAAGGTTGAGTTCTTTTTCTTTTAACTTTACTTGATATTTGAATTAGAAAATTAAATAAAAGCTGAAATGGAATAAGCAGTAGGTAACTTAAGAATATATGTATTTTTATAACTGGAGTTAATTTAAATGACAAAATGGTTCAAACCTCAGCACCTTACTGATTTATTTCAGATGCATCTTTATTTATTTCAGGCTTCCATTGTTAAAATATGCTATTGATTTTCTGTTTTCTTTTGTTCTGAGGTTCCAGTGTGCTCTCTGCTGGTGATGCCATTCCCCATTTGGAAAATGATTGATTCATTATTATTATTAAAACAAAACAGCAACAACAACAACAAAACAATAATCAGGAACCAAGACAAAGTTAAATGTAAAAGTTGCTAAAGTGCTTTCAAGAATATTATTTACTTGACTTTTGGCTGGATTAGAATCTAAAATGAAATGCAAATGGCTACTGGGGAAAAATGAAGAAATCTGTATCCATACAGGACAGATCTAGGAGAGAGGAGAGGCTGAGGGACAGGACATGGAGATTTTAAAGGACTTTGCTTTTGATTAGATTTAGAAAGCTCCATTAAAGGAAAAAAATCTACAGGAAGACTGAAAATAACAATTTGGGGTTGTAAGAGTGAATAACAGCAAGCGTGTAGTACTGGTTTGCAACATGGCAGACCTGGAAAGGGTAATGGAAAAAACCCTCACATACACAACTGTCGGGTCTGCAATAAAAGCAAATAACCAAAAATGTTCCACCGGCTGATTTCTTCTATTTTTAGAACTTAATATGGCAAGACATCTTAAAAAAAAAAAAAAAGAAAAAAAAAAAAAAGATGATGCTGTTTCCAAATTTATGATTCTTGTTTCTGAAAAAAAAAAAAAAAAAGATATGCAAGTAAGTCCCATGGATTAATAGACAATTAAAATCCTTCAGAGAAGAAAAAGACAAAAAAGAGAAATGAGACATTTGTGGAAATACTACATGCCTTCAAAGCACTTCTGTGTTGAAAATTTAAGTCAGAACACTTCCAAATAGATGGTGTATGCTCAGCTTTGTTAAGCTGCACAAGAATGGAAACAGAGGGTTCAGGTATGTGGAGCGAGCCAAGATGGTGATTTAGTAGGACAGCTTTTCCATAAAAGTATGTGATTGAGAACTACATTTCTCTATAAATCTGTGTTATATATCAAATACTAATGCGTAATATCCCTGTTTCTGTATCAATCTATTGATATATAATCATGTAACACATTTCTCCTATGAGTGTAGCCACATACTTTAGCTTTAGATACTGGCCCGCAAATTCATGCATATGGGTAATAGAAGGCAGCGGACCATGTAAACAGCCAGCATAGCACACAGGGAAGCTCACGGAGAACACCTTTCTATCACCAGCCCCTCTTCTAGACGATTTCCTTAGATATACTAGATAAATGAATAAAATATTTCTTAAGTGCGATAAAATATATATTGACGTTTTTAAATATTTTATCTGCGATTGAATGGAAATGAGCTTCATCTGGCTCTCAGGGCACAGCGACACGTGCAGTGTGATGTTTCCCCGCTACGCGCCTTATCACACCGTCTACATGCAATCTTCTTCCTGCGACTGCTATTCATTTTTCATGTGCCAAGTATTCATTAATCCTTTAACCTCTGTAGGTAAATCCTAGTTTTTCTCTGCAGAACGCTCAAGGCTAGGAAATCATTGCTCCCCATTCCAAGTGCTAATACTTACGTTTTTATTGATAAATCTGAATACAACCTATAAATCTACCCAGGTACCATTTCCGGCGGAGTTCTGAAGTAGCCTACTTCTTGCAGGACTGCATGTTTTATCTTTTAGAACATGGTGCTACAGTGTTAACTTTTGACTTGGGTTAAATCTTCTGTAAAGGAAGGAATCACATTCCTAATCTCTTGTGAGTTTTTGGAGCTGGCACTATGCGTGAAGTAACAATAAATCTGCTGTTTGAGTCATTAGACTGTATTTTAACTCTGCGCTCCCTCTTCTCCAAAGGAAAAGATTACACCAGAGACAAAATAATAGCAAATCACACCTAATCTCCTTTATGGCTCACAGAGACATATTTATATACAGTGCGGTGTGGACTTCTGTTTCTGTCTGATTTAGCATTTCTTATTTGCCATCCTGCCTTTTTTAACCTTGTGAGATAACACACAGGGATGAAGAGCAAGGAGCTTGCTTTACCCAGAACACTCATGCCCAGAGGAGGCCGAGTGCCGTTCATGGTAAGGGCAGAACACACCAAGCACTGCATGGATGTACTTCACGTTAAAGGAACAGATGCTGGTTCTGGTTCCTCAGACTCCCTGCGTAACTACCGGGTAGAAGAGCAAGCGTTCCTTTTTACGTACTGAAAGTCACAGCATTCAGCAGTAGTTATTTACCTGGGCTCGGCCTGGCTCTCTGTGTAAATATGCACACCCTACGGGTTGTTATGAACGTGGTTGCGTGGCAGGCCAACCTCACAGCCACAGAGTGATTCCTGTGTTGTGCTTTACTCACCAAACCATTACCTGAGAGGTTACAGACTGGGATTTGAATGTGAGGAGGACAGGAATGTGACTGGAGCGCAGGCCAGGGACCAGCGTGGCAGTGGGACCTGAGGAGGCTTTCTGGCCTCCTTATGCTGAAGGTCTCCTGATCATCACCAAGGGGCACACCGGCAGCCAGAGCTGGTCACAGCCTATGGGCACACCAGCCCTGCTGTTCTGCCCTCAAGCAACAGGAGCCTGAGGGAGAAGGCGAAGAACAGCCACAACAGCTCTGCACTGAGCAAAGGCTGGGAGGCTGGTTGCAGGGCTTGGGCACCACGTGCACGTGAGCCAGCATGCTTCCACCAAAATATCTCGCTGTATAAACATGTACGAGGGCCACTTCAATAGTAATGCCTCCCATTTCATTATTTTGGCCCGCAGCTTCACATATTGGTGGTATGGTGGTAGAGGTTGAACCTTCCTGACAGTATTCCATTACATGCTGTTGCCGTGTGATGGATGGCAGCAGAGGGACAGTCTGATGACATGGCATCTAACATGGAAGTGCATACAAGCAAAAGCGTGTCATTGAATTCTGCCATGCAGAACACATGGTGCCCACTGACATTCACTGATGCTTACTGAACACTGATGGAGACCAAACAGTGGATGCGAGCACCGTGAGGTGGTATGGCTCAGCAGTCCTAACAGTGACAGTGGGTCACCTCGTCACCTCCACTTGTGGAGGGCACAGGCTCTTCTTCATCAGTGCTGAAAATGCACGGATCATGGTTGTCACCATTGAAAACCAGCATTTAGTAGCTGAGAATTTATCTAACAGTGTTGTTGTGCTCTTTGTACTGGTTCAGTTTCTGTGGAAATAAACAGGAGGCATTACTTTCAGAGAGACCTACACCTTAGTAAGCATACTTTGGAGACGACATAGGTGTTTACTTCTCAAAGTTTAGACACCAAGTCCCAAGATTCACGATTTTGTTTCCTAAGTGCTTTAAAGTAACGCCTTCAGCGCAGCCATGCAATAACGACTAATTCCAGGCTGTCGGACTGCCTCTATCTCCGCGTTGCCACGAGAGCCCCGTGCTCCGTTACCCTCAGTTCCTTCGTCTGAAACCCTCCCCATAAGAGAAGTTCTCGGTTTGCAGAGGCGTGACCCTACACATCGACCTCCCTACAAACAGAAGAAAAAAAAAAAAAAAAAAAAAACCACAAGAAAAAATCCCAAACAAATCGACAACCAGCCCTCACAGAGTTCTCAAAAGCTGCAGTGTGTTTATTTAAGACAAAAAATCACAAAGGAAGGTCGGCACAGCTCGGCCCCCACCCCTGCCAGGTGACCGCCCGCACCCCCACGGGGCCCCCGCCCACTATTCCCTTCTCGGGTCCGCCCCGGCCCGGCGGCCACCCTGTGGGAGGCGAGGAACGGCCACCGCCCACGGCCGGTGCTGCCCACGGCGCCCCGCGTCCCCTCCCTCCCCACCGCCTCGCAGGGCTCCCGCCGCGGGTATCCCCTCGGCGCCCCCATCCCCAGGACGCCCGCCGCGCCGTGCGCACCCCCAGTCCGGGCCCCGCCGGCGGCCCCTCCCCCGGGCCGGGCGTTCCCGTCTCCACCCCGGGGGCGGGCGGCTCACCGAGCCCCGGGGCGGCTGCGGGGCGGAGGCGCGGCCCCTCCCTCTCCTCCCTCCCCGCCCGGCGGCCGGTGGGGGCGCTCGGCGTGCCAGCGAGGACACCGGCGCCCGCCGAGGCGAGAGGGGACCGGCGCGGCGCCTTTGTCTGAACGGAGCGGCTCGCTCGGCTGCCCCGCGCGGGGCTCGGCCGCGGCGTTGCGCGGTGTTGTGGCGCGGGCGCGGCTGAGGCGGCGCCGGGAGCCTCCACCCCCGGCCCACCCTGCCCGCGGCTCATCATGTGACGCGGGTAAGTCGGCGGCGAACGCCGCGCTTCGCCGGGGTGCCCCCATTCATTTTCTGGGGACGGCGGCGAGCTGCGGGCGGGCGGGGGGCGCTGCCCCGGCGGAGGGGGCCGGGCCGGGCAGCGCGGGGACACCGCGCCGGGGGGAGGAAGCGGCGCTCCGGCTCTGCGGCTCCGCTCAGGTCTGTGCCCGTTCCGTTCCTTACCGGAATAAACGTAACGTCGGCGTTATTTGGCTTTCGGCTGTCCCGGCCAGCGCCGAGATGGAGTGAAATAATTAAGAAAAAAAAACAAACAACGAAACAACCCAACAGAAAGCAGAGGGGAGGGAGACAGGGGGCTCCGCGCGGGGCCGGGGCTGCGGCCGGGCCGGGGGTCCGCGCGCCCGAACTTTCCCCAACTTTCCCGCTGAGGCCGCTGCAGGGGGCTGCCGACGGGCAGCGCGGGGCCGTTTGTGTCTCCCCTCCCCGTCCGCTGACCTCCGTCCGGGCCGGCCGCGGGGTCCGGGCGCTGCCCCCGCCCGGCTGGGGAACGCGGGGTGAGCGGCGGTGCGACCTCGTTCGCCTGCATCCCTCATCCCTCCGGAGCGCGTCCGCGCCGCGCTGTCAACCGTTTGCGTTGCCGTTGTGTGCACGGGGCGCTGCGTATCCGTGGCTGTGCCCGGCCCGGCCCGGGGGAGCCGTGCGGCGGAGGTGCGCTGCCTTCCGCCCGCCCTCAGCGCGGCCGTGGCACCCGCTCTGCTCGGGACTGAGCCGGCGGCTGTCAGCGCTGTGAATCGGAGCAGATGTGTGTGCGCCTACGGGGGTCAGAGCGCCTCGGTCCGTGCGAGGTGCCGGGGATAAGTTCGCTCCCCCCACCGTGGCTTATGTCAGCCTTTGGCAGCTCCCCCCTCCGATCCCCCGGGTAAGTAAGTAAACCGCTTTTTTTTTTTTTTTTTTTTTCTTCCCTCCACCGTCGTACGATAAACGGTATTCTCTTCATTTTTTTCCTCTTCGTTCCCATCCTGCCCAGCCCCAGCAGGTAGCGACCGCGACAACTTCCCAGGGCCGCTCTGTAGCGCGGGCGCCGGGCTCCATTTTCTGGAGCTCCAACTCCGTAACGTGCGGGAGCGGCGGAGCGCTCCGTGCGGGATTCCGGGGGGGGGGGGGGGGGGGGCGCGGGCAGCGCTCTGTGCATGATGTCAGGCTGCGCGCACCGCGCCGCCGGGCTCCTACGCGGTATTCCTGCGGGGGTGCCCGGAAATACCTTTCTAACGGGACGTAATAAACTCGCGAACATCGCCTGGAAGCCGCCGTGTCGCCCACCGGGAGGTACGGGCGAGCCCTGGGCCGCGCTGCGACCGGAACGCCGCGGCCCCCCCGCTCCGACCGCCCCCGGCTCCGTCGGTCGGTGGCGGCCGCTGCGGGTCCCCGGGCTGAGCCTGGCGGATGACATCACCGTGCCGCCGGCCGCAGTGCCCGGGCTGCTCCCGCACCCCGCCCCCCTCGGATCTCTGGAACCAGGCGGTGGGGGTAGCCAGAGGACGAGGTGGTCCGTTTTCTGCTTTTTTTCCCTCTTCTTTTAGCTTTTCAATTCGTGGAGCAGTGCATAGCATTTAAAGGGGGCTGTGGAAGAAATCATCTTTTCCCTGCCATCCGCCAGCACTTGGCTGCGGGGAGAAGCGCTGCGGGGCATTTGAGGAATGATCGCGTTGTGTGCTGGAGGGACTTAGGGATTTGGGAGGTGCTCTTTGGTTTCTGCTGCTGCTAATGAAGTGGTGTCAGACTTGTGGAGAAGGGGAATGGGAGATGAGGGTGGTTTTTGTTTTAATTTCTATTTTATTCTTTTCCTTCAGCAGTACTTGTAGTAGCATTTCCAAGCTGCCTACCCGTTGTTCCGCTAGAAAAAAGCCTGTGCTAAAAAGGCATCTGAGAGCCTAAGGGAGGCCAGAAGAAAATTTGTAGCAACTTTTAAAAATAAACTTTTAAGATGATTGCAGGACTGGCTAATAACCATGGAGCCCTCTGTCTTTTGGGATTAGCCAGGTCTGAGTGTGTGCAATTTGAGCTTCGCTTCTGAAGTGAGATTTAGGTACTGCAGCATCAAACCAGCTCTTGTGCCACAGAGAGGGTTTAGGCTTCAAACCCCACTGGTAGGCATAGTCCTTCTGCTCTTGAGTTTGCAGACCTCTGCAGTGTGTGACTGATGAACCCCCCTGTAATTAAGTAGAAATAAAGAACACACTGTTTTGGCAAGAAATCCTCTTCCAGGTGTTTGAGGTGCGCTTTGCCACAATTCAGTGTTGCTGAAACCCTGTGAAATTTGGTGCGTGTGTTTTAGCACTTAGAAAGGCATCCTGCTGTTGAGCTTTTGGATACGCATCTACCCACCCAGACAGTTTATCAGCTACAGGGAAGGCATGTGCTGTGTCTCATTATTAAGTAGGCAGTGCTTGCTAACTCCACCTTCCCAGTGCTGTAGTGTTGCAGCCTTCATCTTTGAGGCTGCTGGATGATCTCTGAGCTCTTTGGGATGGCCAACTCCTTGCTCATTTCCCAAAGGCATGAGTGTTCTTTGTGCTGGGTAACAGATCTGCTCAGTGCAAGGTTGGTTTTGACCAGGTCTTTGTTCCACTCAGGTTGAATATACAAATGCCTTATTCACCATCTCATATTAATAATGCTGGGGGAATACTCTTTTTTTTTTTTTCTTCTTGAAATGTTTCATTTTTGGTTTCTGAAGAGTTGTCTTGATTTATTGTGTTGGGACATAGTTGTGGTTTGCCTTTCCATAGAATCATGGAATGCCCTGGGTTGAAAAGGACGACAGTGACCATCTGGTTTCAACCCTCCTGCTATGTGCAGGGTCGCCAACCACTAGACCAGGCTGCCCAGAGCCACATCCAGCCTGGCCTTGAATGCCTCCAGGGATGGAGGTACTTTCTTGACATAAATACAAAGAGAAACAAACAAAAAATTTCTTCAACTGGAAATTTCAATTTTGGAAAAGCTGAGATGGATGCAGCAGTTGAGACGTTGACCTTCTCAGCTCTTGACTAGTGGTTGTTTGCTACAGCTGCAGCTGTGCGCCTTTGAAAGAGGAGGAGCTGCACATGAAGCATGCTCACTTTCTTCGGCTATGAAGAAAACATAGGAAGATGCGTGATGGTTCAAAGTGAGATTTTAAAAATTATTAAGCAAAGTGCAGCTTTTCCTTTATTGTTGTGTTTTCCTTTATGTTGTTGCCATGCCGTAAGACAAATATTTACGTCTTCAAAGTGCAAATGTGAAAGCATGAAGTGATGATTTTCCCTATGCAGTGAAAAAAGATTATTTTTTTAATGAAATAAAAGCATTTCAATTTTATAGCATCTATGCTGTAGCGCTGAAGACACTTCAACAGTGCTTGTCAGTCAAAAGCTCTATGTAAACTGATTCTGTTGAACTTCAGACAGACCTGTATCAGCTAAATGGATTGTTTTTTAAGTCAATCCTAAACATGAAAATGAATGAGCAACAAGAGTTATATTTGCAGGTTATGTTTTGCTGGGATAGATTCTATCTGGGCAGTCAGCTCTATAGGCAAAGTAGAGTACTGATGAGACCGACTGTGTATGTAGACCAGTGCAGTAGTGGTTAGAATTGGACCTGTATGAGGAAAATTGTGCGGTCTCTTTTGGTTTGCACTAAAACTGAGCTGGTAGTGTTGCAGAAAGCCCTTTCCTGTGTAGGTCTGCTTAGATTTGGAGCCCAAAAAGGTGTGAACTTTCTCATACTTCATTGAGGTTTGGTGTGATTGGTTGAAGTTGACTTTGAATTTGTGCTTTTGTCATTGGTCCCAAGCAATAAATATATTGCAAATACAAGTGACTGTTCTTTAATCAGTTGTATTTATGGTTTGGTGGCAGGGAGTTCTTAAAAAACAAAACAAACACTGAGAGACAGAAGGAAGGAAAAAGACCAGTGTGGCTTTGCCAAGAAGTGAGTGGATCTGTGCTGTATATAATGTTGAGCTAGTGTGGGTTTTTCCTTTCTTGATTTCAATGTAATACCTCTTGGTATTTTTCAGAATGAATAATTTAGACTTTAGTCTAAACCACAGTCAAAGTATAGTATAGAATTTTTTTGTTTTCTTTTTGTCTATTGCAAAATAATGTGATTTGAATTGGAGAAGACATCTTGATGTTATGGCTGTGCCTGGCTCATATAGCTGTTTCTCTTCCATTTCCTGCCTTTTTTGGCAGAGGTGGTGGCATGAGCCATTGCAGTGTTGTTCAATCGAAATACACAGTAAAACTTGGCTCAGGAGTCACTGTATGATCTTGTGTGAAACGTCTTCAAAGACTGCAGGTGGCACAGCATAGGTCCATGGGTAAACTTGGGTGCTGATCTAAGAAGGGCTGTCCTCTTGCTTTTCTGCCTCTTTGCACTGTGACAGTGTAGAGGTGACTGAAGCTGTATCAGACTACCACTTGCAGCAGCCCCTGTGGCCTCTGAATAGTCAGTCCATGGTGCGAAATACAACCAGTGCTGGATCCTGAGGTGTTGGCTCTTCTCTCCCTTCAGGGAGCTCCCTTGCCCTCCGGTCTTGATCCATCCTACTGACTTTGCACATCTACTCAGCTGTGCACATCAGCTCTTCTGTCAGAGGAGTCTGTTCATCTGCAGATGCAGAGATAGGACTTGCCTAGGTGATGGTAAGGCTGCGGGGTGACCTCATTGCAGCCTATCAATACCTGAAGGGAACCTACACCCAGGAGGGGAGTAAACTCTTCAGAAGGGCTGACAACAGCAGGACTAGGGGAAATGGATCCAAGTTGAAGGAGGGAAGATTTAGGTTGGATGTTAGGGGGAAGTTCTTCACAAGGAGAGTAGTTAGGCCCTGGAACGGGCTGCCCAGGGTGGTTGTGGATGCCCCGTCCTTGGACGTGTTCAAGGCCAGGTTGGACGGGGTCCTGGGCAACCTGATCTGAATGTGTACGTTTGGTGGCCCTGCTAGGCAGGGGGGTTGGAACTACATGATCCTTG